AATGTGTAAATTTCCTCTATTTTTATACTATTGGGAAAATATGTGGCAAGCATTCATAGTATTGGGAATGAAAGAAAAGGGTAAAGTGTTTTGAAATGAAAGTGAAAGGGGTTTTGGGAAGAAATTTGAGAAAATGGTTTTGAGAAAACTCGGTCGCCGCGGAGTCACCAAAGGGCCGGTGTGTTAATGTAACCTAAAGAGAACTAGGGAAAAATATCCTAACGTGGTTGAGCTAGTTGGGCCCCAAATGACGCCTCGGGGGTACCAAGGGTCAGGGGCAGTGGCCATTTCTTCTCTTGTGTCACTGCGGAGTCACCAAAGGACGGGTTATATTAACAGTTTGTGAAGCAATGGATGTTTTTTGAAAATGGGGAGTGGCATGCATAGCATTGCATTCATGGTACGACATTCGTTTGTTTTGAACTTGGAATTGATATTGTGTTTTCCCTGGTTTAACATGACCCCACTCCCTATTATTCTATTCATTGTTTGGATTCACGGGGTCACCAGAGGTGTGTCTTAGGTACCACCTACTGAGCTTTACGCTCATCCTATCATTTAACATTTTCAGGACATGGGAAGGAAGTCGTGGACACTGAACCGTCACAAACTTGAAGAGAACTAGAAATTTGTTTTTTTGTCATCTTTTGTACCTTAGCCCATTCTTCTGTAAAGTTGTAACTCATGAACATATTCGTATTTTGAAATGTAACTATAATGTCATGACAATACTTATTGTTTATTTGGAACTATGTAATTATGTTGTAATGAATGGGGTAGGATGAGGCATTTTGTGGCAAGCCATTTACGTTTTCAATCATATAATGTCATGATTTGTTGCCGTGAATTCGGGATTTAACTACATAACAGGTCCAGTGTAGGTTCGGCTTGTAAAGAGCCCAGCCTGAAATCATTAAAATTAGATGAATCCCAGGAAGCCATGTTTCGGCAGGGTGAACCTCACCTTCAGCCGACTGAAACCCCAGGTTCGGCCGACCGAACCCCTCCATCGGTCGACCGACAAGCCAATTCTACAAAGTCCCAAGAGCATGCATTTTTCATCATCGTTTCAGTCGGCCGACCCTGCGGGTTAGCCAACCAATCCTGCTCTGTCAACCGACCGGTGAAGGGCCATTAGCCGACTGATCATCCCCTTTGACCTGCATTGTTTGACCATCATTGTAAGGATGCATTTTGGGTCTTTTGGAACCCAAATTGATTCATATGAAGGTTATGGACATAAGAAAAGGATGGTATGGCTTAGTTGACCTTGGGTTTGGGTAAGGACCCGGTTAACGGTTCGGACCCACGGGTTCAGGTCGTTATAGGATCAACCAATACCCCCGTACGCGATAATTCTGATAGCGGGTCCCGCACGGGACCATCCTACCTGAAAAACGGAAAAATGCCAAAATGGTCACCCTTGTATTTCAAAAAGTCCTGAACTCAATAAAATGCCCCAAACTAACTTACAGACACAATCAGCACACTTCACCGTGTCCGGCACACAAAACGAGAAAAGACGAAACTGACTTGCAACGACAAAAATTCTGAAAAAAAATAGAAAATGACGAAATTCAAAAGTATTACAGTGAGGAAGAGGTGCAATATATTTTTCTTAATTATTTTCAATTCCTTTTCCATTCTCAATCCCCTTTGAATATTGACCAATTTTATAGTATATTCCCAATACTATTACAGAATAGATGAATAGTCAATTACAGATGCCATTGATGGAGGAGGAAATTCACCAAGCTATTTGTGACATGGCGCCACTAAAAGCCCCGGGGCCTGATGGTATGACACCTTTGTTTTACCAAAAATATTGGGGGTTGCTTAAAAATGATATTTTTCATGTTATATCCAGTTTTATGCATTCAAGTTTTATGTTATCCAGCTTAAATCATACTAATCTAGTTTTAATCCCCAAAGTGAATTCTCCCACTTCGGTATCTCACTTTCGTCCCATCTCCCTCTTTAATGTAGCCTATCGGATAATAGCAAAAGTACTTGCCAACCGCTAAAAAAGGTGCTCCATTTGGTTATTAGTGAGACGCAGAGTGCTTTTGTGTCGAGTAGACATATAACGGATAATATTTTGGTGGCCCATAAAGTATTGCATTACTTAAAAAATAAACGCAAGGGGGAAAAGGCTTTCTTGGCTTTGAAGTTAGACATGTCCAAAGCTTATGATCGGTTAGAATGGTCTTTTCTTTTTACTTTACTTACTCGTATGGGGCTCAATCCACATTGGGTAACTTTACTTTCAGCATGCGTCACTACCGTGTCATATTCTCTTGTTATTAATGGGAAACCAGTGGGTTTCTTTAAGCCATCACGTGGATTACGACAGGGTGACCCTTTGTCCCCTTACTTGTTTATCTTATGTGCAGAAAGTTTGTCGCAAGTGATTCAGAGAGCAGTGCAAGCTTGAGTTTTAATAGGTGTTAGAAGTTGTCCAAGAGCACCATCTATTTCACATCTATTTTTTGCAAATGATTCACTTATTTTCTGTCAAGCGACATCTTCGGAAGTCCGATCCATTTCGCGAATCTTGCAGGCTTATGAAAGGGCCTCAGGCCAGTCGATTAATTTCTCTAAGTCGTCAATATTTTTTTCTAAGAATACGCCCTTTTTGTTGAGGCAACAACTATGCCACATGCTGGGTCTCACAGAAGAAGGAATGCAAGCAAGGTATTTGGGTATGCCAGCAATCATTGGCCATTCCAAAAGTGAGGTTTTCCACTTTGTTTCTGAAAAAGTGCAGAACCATTTGGCCTCTTGGTAATCTTCTCTACTTTCTAAGGGAGGAAAGGAGGTTCTTTTAAAGGCGTTTTAAGTGCAATTCCGACTTATGTCATGGCTTGTTTCCGGTTGCCTAAACTCCTCTATGATGAACTCATGAAACAGTTTCGCTCATTTTGGTGGAGGAAGAAAAACCAGGGGTGGTCTATTCACTGGTCCAATTGGGACGACTTGTGCAAGAGTAAGAAAGAGGGAGGGCTGCGTTTTTGTGATATGGAAGCTTACAACCTTGCTTTGCTATCAAAGCATGCATGGAATTTTCAAGTTTCAAAACAAAGCTTAGCTTTTCAAATATATAAGGCCATATAGTTTCACAATTGCTCTTTTTTGGAAGCTGCCTTGGGTCGAAACCCGTCTTGGGTATGGCGTAGTATTTGGTCTACCCAACCAATTCTTAAGAGAGGTTTGAGATGGATTGTGGATAATGGAAAATCTATTGGTATCTGGACTGATTATTAGGTGCCAACCATCGAGTCTCTGCCACCACCGGCGGAAAGTTTCCCAGTTGAAAAGGTGTCGGATCTTATTGATGCTGACAAGCATTCTTGGAGGTCCTCGTTCCTGTCCCAAATGTTTCCGAGTGAGATTGTCGTACCAATTCAAAGTATTCCGATCAGCTTGTGGGACAGGGAGGATAGGCAATGTTGGGTTTTACGGAATCCTGAGTTTTTTGGGTTAAGTCCGGTTACCATGTTGCTTTCAAGTATTGTTTAAATTCGACGCAAGTCCTCCAAAGATCATCCTCTCTGATTCAGAATAGTTGTTGGGGAAAAGTTTAGGGTTGTTTGGCCCTTCCTAAGATTAAATATTTTTTGTGGCAGTGTGTTCATGGAGACCTTCCGACCAAAGTGGCACTAAAGAAACGAGGTCTAAGTCTTGATGATGGCTGCCCTTGCTGTAATGAGGCGTCTGAATCTGTAGAGCATCGTATTTTCGTATGTCCTTTCTCTTTGCAAGTGTGGAAACTTTCTCCTTGCAAGTGTGGAAACTTTCTCCTTTACGTTTTGATTTTGCATCCCAGCCAATATCAAATTTTGCGGATTGGTGCGTATCGGTGTGTAAGAAAGGCGAGGATGTGGCATGCTTGGTGGCTTTTTATGCATGGGCTATTTGGAAAGCCCGGAATAGTTTTGTGTTTGATAAGGTTATGCTTTGTCCGAATAAGGTTTGTTAGATGGCGACTGCACCTTTTTGGGAGTTTAAAGATGCTAATTCAGACATCCTGGATCAGTATTTTTCTTCCTCTGCACGGAATGTGTCAAATTGCCGTTCCTGGAATCCCACTCCTATCGGTGCTATAAAGTGTAATATGGATGCCAGGAAAAATGGATGTTTAGCTGGTGGTGGGTTGGTTTTCCATGACCACCATGGTGTATTGAAGGAAGTAGTGGTTCTGAAAAACTTTAAGGCTTGCTCGGCCCTCATGGCAGAGGCGTTTGTATTATGGGCTGCTATTCTCTGGGCTTTGCGATTTCAATTTCGTAATCTTCTTTTTGAGAGTGATTCTGCAATATTGTGTGCTGCAGTGCTTGGGACACAAATTTGTCCAGTTGAAATTGATGCAATTGTGTATGACATACAAACTGCTTTGAAAGGTTTCCCTCTTGCTCGTCTTGCTCATGTTCGTCGAGAAGCAAATGTTTTAGCCCATGAGGCTGCCAAGCTCTCAAAACCTCATGTGTTTGAGGATCAAGTGCTTTAATTCTATCCGTTCCAATTATTGGAGTGTGCTTTCAGCGATAGGTTGTCTCTGTCTTTGTAGTTGGGTTGGTTGTTTGCAGTGTTTGCCTTGTTAAAAAAACAATTAAGAATCATCCCTTTTCTTTCTTTTTTTTGGGTATAGAAAATAAATTCAGTGAAAATGCTGTGTGTAAAGATTAACCATGATCGATAACTGTGGGATGCACGTCCTGTGGTAGAAGATCCTGAAAGGACCTCTCCTTATCTTTATCTTTTTTCTTTTTGAACAAGACTTCTTCTTTTCTTTTTCTTTTTCTTTTTTTCTTTTTTCTTTTTTCCTTTTCCTTTTTAAAAAAGTAGAGAGGGACTTGTCCTCTATAGTGGTCCTGACTAATGAATAGTAAGCTTAGAGCAATTACGCATAAATCATTGAGTTTTTGCTACTTGTTATTTGAATTTGCTTGTTAATTGATCATCAGCTACTTTGCTTTCATTAATTTGTGATCAGAGAGATGATGACGATGATGATGAGTACCCGTATTGCGCTTCTCTTGTTTTGGCTACTGTTATTATGTGATGGGATGAAACCAGATGATGGTGTTTGCAGTGAAAAGGAGAAAAGAACACTTCTAAGCTTCAAACAAAGTATCAGTTGGGACCCTTCAAACCGGCTATTCTCATGGTCTGTAGAGCAAGATTGTTGTACTTGGAGTGGAGTCCGGTGCAACAATGTTACTGGTCGAGTCGTCGAGCTTCACCTCTCCAATCCACACAATCCATACTATAATGATGAAGTATCTTATGAGACGCAGCAGTTGGGTGGGAAGATTAGTCCCTCTTTGGTGGAATTAGAATCTCTGAGTTACTTGGACTTGAGCTGGAACAATTTCAGTGGTTCTACTATTCCAAGTTTCTTTGGTTCTATGCCAAGTTTGACATATCTCAACCTCTCTCATGCTCATTTTGAGGGGTTGATTCCTCATCAGCTTGGGAACCTCTCGAGCCTTCGTGTTCTCGATCTAAACTATAATTCTCAACTTTATATTGATGATCTTAGTTGGATTGATCCTCTTCATTCCTTGGAATACCTTGCCATGGGTAGGGCCGACCTTCACAGAGCAATCAATTGGGTTCAAGAGGTGAGCATGCTTCCTTCCCTTTCACAACTACATTTGTCTGACTGCCAACTTGAGAAAATGATTCCACCTCTTGCTTTTGTTAATTTCACGTCTCTTAAAGTCCTTGATCTTTCGCACAACCATTTCAATTACTGGGCAAATCCCAGACTGGCTTGGGCAATTGAAACATCTTGAATCTCTTTCACTTTCGGGGAACTCATTGCATGGTCCCATTCCATCATTTATTGGAAACTTGTCTTCCTTGAGAGCATTATATCTTTCTCATAATCAATTGAATGGCACTATTCCATCATTTATTGGAAACTTATCTTCCTTAAGAGCATTATATCTTTCTGGTAATCAATTGAATGGCACTATTCCAACAAGTATGGGGTTCCTCTCAAATCTGGAGGAATTAGGTGTAGGTCATAACTCATTAGGAGGCATTGTTTCTAAAATCAATTTTGCCAAACTCTCAAAGTTGGAAGTCTTTGGATATGTCTTCAAACTCTATCTTCTTCAACGTGAGCTCCAATTGGGTTTCTCCTTTTCAACTTCATCGGCTTCGGTTGAGCTCCTGCAAGATGGGTCCAAGGTTTCCTGCATGGCTACGAACACAAACATTTTTATATTATTTGGACATTTCTCAGTCGGGAATTTCAGGCACAGCTCCAGAATGGTTGTGGAAGTGGGTTTCAGGTATTGAATATATCAATCTCTCAGGCAACCAGTTAAATGGAGACATATCCAACACGTTGCTAAATTCTACTGTTGTCGAAATGGCTTCAAATCGTTTCGAGGGTCAATTACCACGTTTGTCTCCAAATGTTAAAATTTGAACCTTGCTAACTATTCTTTCTTTGGATCCATTTCCCCATTCTTGTGCCAAGAGATGACTGGAGAAAGTATGTTGCAGGTTCTGGACCTGGCAAATAATATATTATCAGGTGAAGTTTCTCATTGCTTGATGCATTGGCAACGTCTGGAATGTGTGAACATAGGGAGTAACCACCTATCTGGTAAAATTCCTAACCCTGTGGGTTCACTGAGGTTTCTCGCATATTTCCAATTGCATAATAATACCTTTCTTGGAGAAATACCTTTATCACTGTGAAACTGCACCCATTTGAGCCTCATTAATTTAGGTGAAAATGAATTTACCGGACTCATTCCGAATTGGATTGGAGAAATGTTGTGCTTGGGGGTTCTCCGCTTAAGATCCAATAAATTTATCGGCAATATTCCATCAAAAATATGCCAACTTTCTAATCTTATAATCCTAGATCTTGGGAATAATAGCCTATCAGGACCCATACCAAAATGTTGGAAGAATATTAGTGCCATGATTACCACAAATTCTTCAATTCGACACTCATTTGGTGTTGTACTTTATAAGAATAATATTCAAATCTACAAGAATATTCTCTCATTGGTGACATTGGTGACAAAAGGGAGGGAATCAGAGTATGAGGATATTCTTGGACTTGTTAGGAGCATAGATCTCTCAAATAATAATTTATCCGGGTCGATCCCATATGAGTTATTTAGTCTTCATGCATTACAAGTTTTAAACTTGTCTCATAATCAAATTACGGGAAAGATACTAGAGAATATTGGAGGCATGACAATGTTAGAATCATTTGATATCTCGAGAAATCATCTTTTGGGTGAAATTCTTCAGAGCACGTCGAATTTGACATTTCTCAGCTACTTGGACTTGTCATACAACAATTTCTCTGGAAGAATTCCTTCAGGCACCCAACTTCAGAGTTTTAATGCAACTAGCTACATTGGCAATGTTGAACTTTGTGGAGCCCCTCTCAACAACAATTGCACAAGAGAGGAAGAATCTCAAGGCCAAGGTGTGATAACAAGGGAGAAAGAGGAAGAAGAGTATGAAATGGTATGGTTTTATATTGGCATGGGTCCGGGATTTGTGGTTGGATTTTGGGTTGTTTGTGGTACTCTTATCTTGAAAAGGACATGGAGGCATGCTTATTTTCAGCTTCTTGATAACGTGAAAGACTAGATCTACTTGGCTATATTGCTGAAGGTGAACTGGCTCCGCAGGAAGTTCAATAGATCTAATTATGCATGAAGATCATCATCATCTTCTACTAGGTATTGCTTGCACATTTCTTTTCTTGTCACTTTTTTATTTTTTTTCTTTCTTGTGGTTGCTACTCTGTTCTTACTCTTTATCTATTTAATAATATATTGTGTACTTGGTAGTATCTTTTCTAGTCAAGTTCATGTTGTATAAATTAATTATCACTTTAAAATATATTAACTGATATGTATTATGTTAAAACTCTTCGAACACAGAAAGAAGAAAACAACAATCTCTTGGAAAAAGAATTAAATTATCTTCGAAATTAACAACCAAATCAACTTAAACCATAATCAATGAAATTGTTCTAAAATGTGTAGAGCTATGGTGCTAGCAATGAAAACAGAGAATAAATTGATACTTTTCACTATTGTCTGATGCTTTATAACAAAAAATAGACTGAATTTATGCATCACAAACATAAAGGATCTGCTTTATCGCAGCTTAATCAAATTTAGAAATTAAACATTAAACATTAAACAACTAAGGCTTAAATTTTATTTTCACATGGATATATTAACAGCCATTAATTCATGAAAAATATGTCTTTATTTTTATTTTTTTGACAAGTGAATATGTCTTTAATTTACTGCATTCTAGTTAAGAAGATATTAGAGGTGAATTTACTACATATACTCTAGTTTTTGTTGATATCATTATTTCTTAATAGAGAGTTGAAATTGGAATGGAAAGCTGTTGTAGCTACTTGAAAATTAAATGAACGTGAATAGAAATAACAAAGAATATGAGCAAATCAATTCTACGAAGAACGTGAACAAAAGAAATTTAACTAAAAGAATGTTGAATTAAACTAGGAAGCTGAGAATAATTACTCTAGGAAAGCATGATTGGAAAAGAAATTGTTTTAATACGTTTGATTGAGAGGGGTCCAAATAAATTACTTCCTAAATCTAAATCATTGGATTACAATTAAATTCTCAAAACTATTTCAAGTGATAAGTCATGTTAACCAATAAATCACGTATATTCTGTCTTTGCTTCTTTGCTGAAGAGTCTAATAAATATATTCCCAAATATAAGGATAAATATTAAGGATAACTATATATAAATCACTTCAATAATATCTTCCACCAATATTATCAATTTTTTTTATTCTCTTAAAAAACTTTTGAATTCTTTTTCTACAATTAAAACCTATACTTTCCTTGAAAGTTCTCTCATATTTTTATCTTTTTATTTCTTCTTCTTCTTAAAAATTCCCTTTTTCTTCTTAAAAATATATTTTTTCTTGCACTCATGCATAATTTACGAGTAATAACCATTTTTTTTTTTTCTTCCTAATGAATTGTTGTTACACTATTATATTTTCAGCCTATTGTCTTGCTATAGTTAGTTTGGAAGAAAAGATTTTGTCAAGCTTAACATGCCCCTGAACCAATTTCCACGCTCCGCCCCTGCTCTTGAATCTGTCCTTAGAAATCGTTAAACCATCTTCATTCTCACCTTTGGGACTCCCTAGCTTCTCCATTACCACTTGTTGACCTTCAAGCTTAAAGATAATGAATATGTAGTTCCTCTTTGCCTGTTATTCCAACAACTTCAACTTACACTCATCGTTCACAACCATTCCTATGCCGAATTATCCTGTCCAAAGAATATTAATAGAAAGAAAAAATAGAGCTTATACCTAAATAGAAATGCAAACTAAAACAATGATTTAATTAAATTGAATTCATTCTAGCCCTTATGATAGGTCACTAAATGAGCAATATATAGCATGTAAATTAAATCAGGAAGAGGAGTGGATTAATGTTTTAGAAATTTGCTATTACTATGGTGATTGCTCTGCTTTTGATGTGTTAATCAACATATGGGGCTACAAACTTTATTTAAATGACGTATATTTAGAATTTTGAAAATTCAGTTCTTCGAAATAACAAATGTAGCTCTATCAAATTATATTGAGTTGATAACTGCTAACTCATTGGCGTTAAAATTTTATTTGAAGGGGAAAATTTATGGATTTCAATTACGACATGATTTTAATTCCAAGAACTTTAGCTAACTTTTATCGTCCACATCCATTCGGGAAGTGAAATTCGTCTGTCCAAAAAAATATACCATAGACAGAGAGTATGAACTTTCGGTGTGTGTGTTCTGCTTACCAACAAATATAAAAGTAAAAAACAAGTTTCTAGCTTGATTCTAAGGATGCTTATCTTTTTAAATGCAGTTTAATAGTATAAATTCCTTTTGAGGAATTGGAGGACTGGTTTAGTTCTCAATTCCCTCAGAAAACTAAGAAGAACAGAATTTGCCTGCTGGTGTTAATTTGATTCTTCGATATGGAGATGACGGACAATCTTAATGAATATTGCTAAATCTGCTTTATGACTAATACAATGAATAATTCCTGCAGGACATTTTGCATCAATCGGGAACAAGATTTTCATATAGTTTATGCTGCAGACTATCTGGCTCTTGGATCTGTTGTTGGTGTGGTTTGCATTTGCTTTGTTGGTGTTTTGGTTTGTTGCATGAATTTCCTCTTTTCTTGATTGCAGGTTTTTGAAAGTTGTTTTCCTTTTATGTTGATGTAATTTCCTACCTATTTCATTGTATGGTTTGGCCTGTTTTAAAATTTGTTTTGATTAAGGGAGAAAAAAAAAAAAGCAGCTATTGCCTACTCATGTATAAATAAATAAGTTACGCTATACTCAATATTCTATGTATAATAATGGTGTTTTAAATTTCAATTATCCAAATATACATACATATATACATATACATACATATATATATGTATAATGATAGGGAGTTCGACAATTATATCGAGGAAGCGGGGCTGGGGGATGACATGTGCCACAAGTACAAGGAGACGGTTCATCTCCACTAGACATATCAATTCTCGCTTTCTGGATAATTAACAAGTTGTAGACACCACATTCTTGCATGCAGGTAACTACTCGGACGACTCCTGTTATCATCATCATCATTATCATCATCCCTTTTTTTTTTTCTTTTTTCTTTTTTCACAGTACTTCTTCTATCAACCTCCCCTTTCAAAAGTAGAGATGAGAGGTCAAATTATTGGATGTGATTGTTTACTTTTATAAGTTCAAAGGCAAGAAAGTTAAATTTGTAATTTTACAAAAACAAAATAGTACTTTGATTTTTCAAAGGAGATATTTATTTTGGGACAGCTAAAAATAAAAAAATAGACATTTTTTTTTTTTTTGTTTGGAACAAAAAGAGTACTATAAAATAAAATAACATTATCAAAAATTCGAAAAAACATATGGTGTAGGACAATTCAGAATATGGATGGATAGCAAGAAAATGAAATCTCATATCTAGTCAACATGGACTCCCCCATTTTATTCACATTCGGCTACTTTCTAAAGTCAAGTCTTCAATGGTAATTGCCTTCTAAAATTGATATGTCCACTTTGGCATCATGCAATTACTCGAGCCACACAATGAAGGCTTCAAGTCAAGTCATCAAACATTGCCATTTTTATTTTATTTTTTGTTGAAAAATCAATTGTGCTTGTTACGAAGGATTCTTATAAGGAGAGTGCCTATGCAGGTTGGTGCCAAGTACTCAAGAAGACTTTGAATACATTTTCATAAGATACTTTCCTCAAGTATCCTAGACTATACATAGCAAGAGTCTTGAAATCAAATTATAACTTTATTTATATATTTATTTATTTGTGCTTTCAACCCTGAGGGAGGAATTGATTGATACATGTGTTTACATCCTATATTTCAGCCAATGAGTAGTTGACACGTGGCGAGTTTTACATAAGACTTGCCATATATCAATTTTAGTTGCACCATAATTAACAGTTGCTGTGGCCGATTCCAATGGAAGGGTGATATGCAAATATAGGTGCAATCATAAAGCAACACGTGGATTCATCTAAGAAAGCCATTTGGTGAAGTAACCACTTTGGAACACGTGGCAATCAAGGAAGCAAGCAGTTACATACAAATGAAAAGTCATAGGACACATAACAGCCAGGAAGCAAGCGGTTACACGTAAGTAGAAAGTCATGGAACACGTGACAGCCAAAGAAGCAAGCGGTTACACGTAAGTAGAAAGTCATGGAACACGTGGCAGCCAAAGAAGTAAGCGGTTACATATAGGTGTTGGCAGTCAAGAAAGCAAACGGTTACATGCAAGTGGAAAGTCACAAGACACATGGCAACCAAGAAAGCAAGCAGTTACATGCAAGTAGAAAGTCATGAGACACATGACAGGCCAAGAGATAAGTAGTTGGAAGACATGACTTCCAAGTGGGACACGTGGCAAAATTGCATAATAAAATTATCAAAGGATAAAATAATACTGTATTCCTAAATCACAGAAACAAAAGAAAAAAAATGTGAATCCAAATGTAGCTAGACAATTGGGCCAGATACATGTCCAGTAAGAAAAAAAACAAAGCTAAATGAGTTCAAGTCCAAACTGGCCGGCCCAATAGACCCTTGTTCATACACAATTCACTAATATAGTTTTTTCTTGCTAGGCAAAAAAAAACAAAAAACAATGCCCAATGTATTTCATTTTAAACGAATCATATAGGAAAAGTATAAATTTTAAGCCTAAATAATTTTGAGTTATTAAATTTTGGTAGCTAGGTAAATAACTTATCACTAGCTAGCAGCAGACTCAAAAAATTTTGCTTGGAGGAGTCAATATGAAAACAAAAATCAAAACAAAAGAAATAAACTATCTATTTGATATTATATTGTGCACTTGGTTCTGTTTTGTAGTCATGCTCATGTTATATAAATTATCACTTTAAATTCAATTAATGACATTGCATCCTTTTTGGGGAATTATTTAGAACTCTTCTTGATCTCCAAAGATAATCCATCTTCTTTTTTTCTTTTTTCTTTTTTCAGTTCTGCTTTAGAATTGGATGAGTCTTCTTTTGGCACATATTCTATATGGACTTCATTTATGCATCTACAGATTTCAAGACTCTCCTTGGTCCACATAGGTTATTTCATCTTAATTGTTCGAATTTTCTTTTTTTATGAATTTGATATGTGCATCAATATGTGTCATTGTCTCTTTGGAATTGCGCAATTAAATCTTTTCACCAGAAGACTCCAAGTCAATGAAGGCACTGGACACGATTACACAGGGATAAATTATTAGATAGTCTTGATTCATTTAATACTTTGTTGATTAATTCAATAAAAGTTAATATTGAGATTTCTTTACAATATATTAATACACCCTTGTGAGCCATTTTCTCAATCCGAGGGTTTGAATTTAACTGGTCCACCAATTATTAATAGTTCAGAACCATTTAATAATTTCTCTCACATGGTGGGTCAAAAGTATTAAATTAATCTTTTTCCAAGTTGAAGATTCCAAGTCAAGGTATAACTTAACTGGTCCAAAAGTATTAAATAAGAATTTCTTTATGGACTCCAACATGGGCTAAGGTGGTATGACTTCGAGCCTCATGTAGAATATTGTGGTGCATGTATGACTTCGAGCCTCATGCAGAATATTGTGGTGTATGTGATTTTGTACTTATATGATTTTTGGTCAAAACAAAAACAAATAATAATATATTTTTTTTTTTTGTTGAAAAATCAATTGTGCTTGTTATGAAGAATATAGATTCTTTATACACAGAGTGTCCGATCATGCCAAATTCTCTTGAAGAATTGAATACATTTTCATAAGATATTTTCTTGTAAGTATCCAACATCTAACAAGTCTTGAAATCAAAATGTAACTTTTTTTTTTTTTTTTCAACTGCATAGTCTGCAAGCATGGGATTAATTCGAGTGGTAACTCAGTTGGACCTGAAGTTTCATGAAATATCAGGTCGATCACGACCACAAGTGAAAGATTAAACTTTATCCGACCTGTAACTTCACTTTAGAATTATGCAATTTAGCCTCCCCAAAACTAGGAAGAGGGGAATTGTAACACAAACACACTCGATCGGAGAGTTGATCTTTGTATCACCTAGGTCATTAGGTAATGTCCTAAAATTTTGTTAATTAATTAATTAGTGAATTAAGAACACCTATTTGGTGATTGGTAGTCTGGTAGACATAGTTTTCTGGTTTATTAAAACTTGATGGGTGGTTTAAGTGATCTTCATTTTCAAATCCCAATTTTACTTTTCTAGTCAATGAAATATATATATATATATATAGAGAGAGAGAGACTTGTCCTCCGGAAGTGGTTTTATTTTTGTTTTCTTTTTAGGGTAAATTACATTGACACCCCCTTGAAGTTATGTCAAATTTTACATTTACCCTTATTTTTATTTGTTATTTCTTGTGAAATTCTTTATGTGTTTGAACTACCAGTTATATATATATATATATATATATATATATATATATATATATATATATATATTGAGTACCAAATAATTTTACAACTTGAACTCGTTAAAGTTTTCAAAATTGCTAATTTAGTGCTAAAGTTGGTAATGTGAGAGTTACAATTTACAAAACAACTCCTCTGAAATAATAATAATAATAAATAAAGCAAAGAAAGATAATAAGAAAAAGGTTATAAACACAAATTTTTGACTTAAATGATAATAATAAAAAAAATTGAATATAATTAATTGTCATTGCATCCATATATAATTAAGTATCACGATCCATCTGTTTCTTAATGTCTTTGTATCTTCCTATTTTTTTTTTTAATTATTATTTAATTTTTTTTATACTAATGATGTTGTAAGTCAAGTTTTCAAAGTCTTGTGATCATTCTTAGTCTCAAAAATAGAAAAAAAAAAATGGTTCGAAAGTATTAAATAAATATTTTTCCAAGCTGAAGATTCCAAGTAAATGAAATATATTATACTTTTCTAGTCAATAAAATATATAAGATAGACTTGCCCTCCCAAACTGGTTATATTTTCTTTTTGTTTTTATTTGTTCTTTCTTGTTAAATTCTTAAGATTTTAATTCTCTTTATGTGTCTGAACTACCAGTTGTATACATATATAAAAAAAGTAGACATTTCTTTTTTTTTTTTTTTTTTTTTGGAACAAAGAGAGTACTATAAAATAAAATAAAGGGTAATTTGCACTCACACCCCCCTTAGGTTTGCAATAAAAACAGGTAGATACAATTTAGAGAGAGTATGATCCAATTGTCCCCTCAAGTTTGTATATTTGAACAACACTTAATTGCCCTTTGATTTTTGAATTGACCCATTTAAATCATGAAAGTACAATATTAACCTTTTACAAGTACTTTGATTTGACCAAAATAACCCTTGACAAAAAATAAAAAAAAAACTTCCACCAAGGCCCTTGCATTTTTTTAGCAATACCTTATTATAGTATTAAATTAAAATTATTTATGGTAATGTTTTACATAAAAATTAAAGTTGGCCCCCTCAAATTTTTTTGTAACACTTTATTTATGGTACCAAATCATAGATACTAATAATTGTTTTCTATATAAAAATTAAAGTTGATCTCTCTATATTTTTTTAAAAAAATCCATATGGTTCCCTTATATTAAATATAGTTTAATAATGAAATTACTTGTAACCCTTTCAAATTCCAATAAACCTCTTGCTATAAAAGATCAAATTTAGTAAAAAAATTTATTAATTATTATGATAATCCTTATAACAGCATACTATATTTACGCATACATATATTCACACACATACATAAATATTATTTGTTATGAATTAGAAAGAAAAAAAAAATTAGTCACTTGACAACAACAATGATTCAATCCACAACTTTTCTCTTCAATTTTATTGCGTATTATTTATAGACACATTTTAACAATATACATTAAATTTGCAAAAAAATAATAATAATAATAATAATAATTTTACAATGATTTTATGTTATTTTTAAATTTTAATTTTACATTTCTAGTTTGGACCTACTAATGAAAAATTCCAGGGTCCGCCCCTGTCGCCATAGTAGAGTTTGATTTTTTTTTTTTTTTTTTTTTTTTTTTTTTTTTTTTTTTGTCTAAGAGTCATTTTGGTCAAATAAAAGGACCTATAAAGGTTAATATTGTACTTTAATAATTTAAATGGGTCAATTCATAAATTAAAGGGCAATTAGGTACACTTATCATGGTTAGGGTGTTGTTTAAATTTGCAAAATAGAGGGAGCAATTGGATCACACTCTTTCTAATTTGTATCTACTTGTTCTTATTGTAAACTTAAGGGGTGTAAGTATAAATTATCCTAAAATAAAATAAACAGTTATTAAAAATTCAAAAAAACATATGATTCTTATAATAGTTGTAGGACAATTCAAAATATAGTTGGATAGCGAGAAAGTGAAATCTCATATCTAGTCAGCATGGACTCCTCCCATTTTATTCACATTCTGCTGCTTTCCAAACTCAAGTCTTCAATGGTAATTGTTTCCAAAGTTGATATGTCCACTTTGGCATCAAACATTGCCATTCAGCCACGGCATTTTGCAATAACTCGAGCCGTCAACCATTGCCATTCAGCCACACATAAATTTTATTTTATTATTATTATTTATTTGGTTGAAAAATCAATTGTGGTTGTTGAGAAGGATTCTTACAAGAAGAGTGTCTAATGGATGTTCGTGTCAAATACTCTTGAAGACTTAAATACATTTTTATAAGATTACACCTTACAAGTCTTGAAATCAAATTATAATTTTATCTATATATTTATTTATTTTCGCTTTCAACTCTAAGATTCGACCCCTCTTGAATGCAAACAATTCCTTAAAACTATGACCGCAAGTGAAATCCTGATATTTAGCAACTTCACTTCAGAATTATTCAATTTTTCCTTTAAATTTGTTTGTCATGATTTTTATAGTTATATGTTAGTAGGCAGAAACAGAAATATTCATATAGAAGTGTCAAATTAACTAGTATTATTATTTTTAATTTTCTTTTCCGGAGGCAAGATAATTTCTTTAAGATAGGGCAATCAATTAAACAACTTAAGGGGTCTTATTAAGGCGATTCCTTTTGTGAAGAGTAATATATACTTCAAAAAATTAGTTTTGGTAAGCTGTATTAAGATATATTTTCCTTTGTGTCTGTGACTCCCAGTTATACACACACACACACACATATATATTTATATATATTAGTACAAAATAATAACGCAATATGAAATTACATCATTATGTAAAAACATTTTAAGAATTGGATTAAGATTTGTGAAGTTGAGCAAATTATTTTTTAACAATAATTATGGTGAAACATACATAAATATTATCTAATTGGTGACAAAAGGGAGGGAAATGAGAAGAATGGAAATATAGATATTCTTCCTTTCGTTTAAAAATTAAAGACAAAAAAATATCTTTTTCGTACTCCGGAAGAACCTATTTTCAGATTCTTTTCACCCAAAAATATTAAGGGCCATGCCATGCCACCATGTCTCTCAATGCTTTTCACCATGGTTACTAAAACCACCCATTACATATGGATAAATAAAAATTGGTTTCAATTATATATAACTTTACCCATAACTACCTAAGTATTTCATTTTCCACTCCAAAATAAAATAATAATAATAAAAATAAAAAATAAAATCTATTTTAAATCATTTGACCCAAAACTTGTATTTTCTAATTCTATTTACCTAGAATTTAATGAATGAACTGTATAATTCTACATATTTTACTAAAAGATTACATATATACTTAAGATATGGAAA